GAGGGGTGGAGGCTGTCAGGGGAGTCCAGGGCTCCCGCCTGGCCCAGAGAGGGGTGGAGGCTGTCAGGGGAGTCCAGGGCTCCCGCCTGGCCCAGGGCCTGCCGCTCCCACTGTTAATCCTCAGCCCTGAGGAGTGAGCGCCCGCCCGCAGGCCAGGGGCAGAGTTCCAGGACCAAGCAAAGGAGGCTGGGGCCCGAGAGGGCGGGAAGGGTCTGGGTAACCGAGCAGCCGAGAACCGGCTCCACGGGGCAGGAGTCCTCAATGGTGCCCAGGGCCTCTGGTGGCGAGGCCCAAAGGCCCTGCCTGGAGTCTGAGGCTGTCCACCTGGAGTCCGACCACCCGCTACGTCACGCCCAGGGCCTCGTTCCCGTCAGTGGCACCCRTGCCACACAGCAGGGACCCTGAGGTCCAACCCTGGGGACTCTGAAGACAGGGAGTGGGCAGAGAGGCCGAAGTGACCATCGCCACCCTCTCCCTCCAGGGGGCCGACCCCGTGAGGCCCGCGTGTCCAGGCCCCGTGTCCAGGCCGCCTCTCGGAGCTGCCGCGTGCAGTCCCTCGGGCTGATTAGCTCCCCGACAGGCGGCCTTGGAGGAGCCCAGATGGAGGAGCAGATCAATGGCAGCCGATCAATACGGTTTCCTTGGCAGGAAAAGCCACCCCAGGTGCCCGAGCCTTGAGCCTCCGGAGAAAACAGCCCCAGGGTCCGTGGAGCCGCCAGGCCCTCTGGGCACCAAATCACACCAGCGGCCAGYGGGACCCAGAGGCCTGGACACTCACCCACCTCCCAGCACCACCATYGTGCCTCCCTAAGGCATAAGAACTGGGGCCTAGACCAGAGCAGGGTATATATTGAGTGCCTGCTGTGTGCCGGGCACCGGGCTAACAACRGTAACAATGGTAACAATCGCAAACATGTCTTAAGTGCCCTGGGGGCTGGTTTGCTAGGGGCTTCCCATCAAACCCCACACACTATCTCATTTAAACCCAACAGAAAGCACAGGCTACAAGGGGCCAGAGGCCCCAGCACACAGGGAGTGCTATGCACACTCGGGTCCCAGGGCCAGGGCTCTCCTGCTTTAAAAATAAATAAATAAAGCCAGGAGCAGTGGTGCACGCCTGTTAATCACAGGTGGCTCAGGAGGCTGAGGCAGGAGGATTGCAAGTTCGAGGCCAGCCTCAATAACTTAGCAAGGCCCTAAGCAACGTAGTGAGACCTGTCTCAAAATGAAAAATAAAAGAGCTGGGGATGTGGCTCAGTGGTCCAGGGCCCCTGAGTTCAATCCCTGGTATGAAAAAATTAAAAAAAAGAATCAGTCAAACAATTCGTGCCTGAGACGGAGCAGGTTGGCCTGGGACAAAGTTTCCCCGACTGGCAGACACTACTTTACAGACAAGGCAACCAGGACGTGGCGACCACCACTCTCTGCCACCACTGACCGACAGGGGCCAGGCAGGTGGCACGCGGTCGGCAGGGTCAGCAGGGCCCTCACTGGCCCCCGAGTGCGTTTCTGACCTCGTACCATGGGCTCAGCGCCTGGGAAGGCCCGACCCTCGGCTGCCGAGGGCCAGAGGGACGTCTGCTTCTCTTCTCACCCACCGGCGCCTCCCGGGGCCGAGCCAGGCGAGTAGAGGCTGGGCCTGGGTCAGCAGGGGGCTCAGCCCTCAGCCCATCAGCCTGGTGGACGTCCAGTCCTGTGTGGCCCCCAGAGGGGTCAGGAAGAGGCAGGTTCACCTGCAGGAGGCAGCGGTGGGTGGGGAGGCAGCAGGAAGAGGCCACAGAGGCCGAGAGGACCAGCCCTGAGCCCCCAGGT